TATGTTTTGGACTCTATAGTATTTGATGTGAAAGGTGTGACTCACCACAAATGATGAGAGAATTTGGAAGATGGATGGCCCCAAAAGCTTTCTTTCCATCTCCTTCCTCTTTCCTTCAATAAAGTTCAGAGTTTCCTTTGGGGGAGGAGTCCGCTCATCTGGCACTGCCATTCTGCTCTGATAATCCTTATGCGACTTTTACAGTGGTAAGACCAAAGAGCTTTCCAGTACCTTTCAAGAGGTTAATGCGGTCTAAGGTGTACAACACAAGAACTTTAAGTGGTTTAAAAGCAATGCATGTTGTCAGGCCATGTTCTTAGATCTGCTCTGGTTGTTTGACCTGTATTGCTGGTATCTTGGTCTGCTGAATGAAAAGGAGGATTACTGAGGTTATGGACTTCTGTTGCAAAATATAACAGTGTATAAATATCATATAATATATGTTATAGGTTATGTTCCTGTTGTCAAAGTTATGAAATAATATACAAATAATGTATGTACTGTATTTGCTATACTTGATTTTGATTTAAATGAAGCATACAGAGTATAGTAAAAAATACATATGATTTTTCCCCAATCATATATTTCACACTTCCTTAAAATCTCTGAGTGGTTTATGGGTGTATTAATCTGAAGTGCTACATTAAGAGCTCAAGTTTTATATGACAATGTGGCTCATACTTGCCCTCTAAGCACATCTTGTCCAAGAGGGATTAGACAGTTTGCTCTGGCAAACTAGGTGACACAAATAATATTGCCTCTGTCATCATCAATTGAAAATGATAGAAATATATAAATAAGGAAATGGGTGCTGAAGGATTTTGACTGTTGTGTCACGCACACTTTGTTCAGAAACAATAACTAAAAATTAAGAAGCTGTTCATGGTTAGTTAAAATATCACTTCTGGGTTACTTGTGTTGGACAGTAACTGTCTAAGGCAGCTGTTGTGAAGCTTGGAAGAGCATTTGATTACTTCATATTCACATTATAGTTAGCAGTATACAATTCAATGCCCAAGTCAACCTGAATTAGAGATGTCAGTAAACAGTTGTTCAGGAAGATTACAGGATTCCCATTTCCTTTTAAGTAACTGTTTATGTATGGCTTGGCTAGAGGTGACAGTCTGGGAAATTCTGGACTCTGGAATGCGTTCATTCAGTTGATCTGCTGTAATTGCTTGTGCACATATATTTCCAGTTTCTGAAAGATTTTTTTTTACTCTGTTGTCCAATAAAGATACATATAAATTTTTCATGGCATGTCCACTAAGCTCCTCTCTTTCTCAACAAATTAGTTTTTTCCCCAAAACCATTTCCCTTGACTAAAGCACTCACTCACCTTTAAACATGTTTTTCCTGATTCACCAAATAATTGATGAATAGCAAACAATACTTTTAACTGGTCATTACCAAGGCAAGAATGCAATGTGGGATGATAAATATGATAGTAGCCAAACCAGCCTGGAGATGTAACAATTTTTAAAAAAATGTAATGTGTATCTAAAAGAGAACCATTATAACAAAATACATTCTTTTGTGATTATATTGCGATCACATATCATTTTATCTACACATGCCTAAAATCTACAGACCAATAATTACAGAAAGCTGATTTTTTATGTAACCGATAGTGATGGGAAGTTCGACTCAATTAACCGATTCGATTCCTTTGAACTGTCCGTTGTAATGAATCGATTCTAAAATCGATTATATGATTCTCTTTTTTTTTTTGTCTTTTTTTGCACCTGACCGTATGACTCAACCAGTGGCGGAACAACTGCACACAAGGCCCCAGGGCCCTCTCTCCCAAATGGGTTCGTCACTTTTTGAGGTCCCCCTGAAACATTTCCGTTGTGGTCCCTGCTATTTGCAGCGCGTTTTTTGTGTTTGCAACTTTGCATCGCGTTTTTTGTGTTTGCAGCGCGTTTGTGTTTGCAGCGCGTTCGTGTGTTTGCTGCGCGTTCATGTGTTTGCAGCGCGTTTCCGTATTTGCAGCGCCTGTGTTGTCAAACTGATGGAGACGTTTTTTAATTTGTTGTGGTTTTTTTCTGTTTGCATGTGTTTTCTGAAGTTGCAGCGCGTTGAGCTCTCTCGGCCACCGTACATTTCTGCAGAAAAAACGTGTAAATAAATTCGAAGGCATTTGAATTTAAAAGTGTTTTATTTGTTGGTGTGTGTTATTGTTTAGTATTACTTTATTATGTTAATATATAAATATAGGCCAATACTTGTGATAATTTGTTTTTAAAGTATTTGCAAGCATATTGTGCACGAGTATAAGTGACTGAACCACAGGTATAACAATAATAACAACATTAGCATGAATAAAATATTTATTACATGATATATGCCTTGTTTAAGTATGATTTGTTTTTACATTGTTGATTGCATTCAGTTTACTCTTTGCAACAATTTCGCTGGAGAAATATCACACATTTGCACTTTTTTTTAATACAGGAAAAGTTTGGTGATAATTAATGCAGCTAGCGAATTACTTACATAAAAACCTACTAGTTGGGGTTGCAATAAGTTATCGTATTGACCAGTAAACATCAAGAAACATAAATAACACAATCAACAAAAATCTGCTGCCAAGTCAATCAGTACTTGTACTGATCGCTTGCTCTATTTTGATCGCGGTTCCCGAAGAGAACTCTATCGGCAATCTATGGCTCATCCTGCTAGTCCCGGATGTAGAGGGTTTGATTTCAGATCGTATTTTAAACCACTGAAATTGTGGCAGCGTATTTGAAACAGCGAAAATAACGGGACTCAATATTGTAAAGCAGAAATAAGAGGACTGAATGTTACTGCTTGAATAATAAAGATGCGAATAAAACACATGGAATATTTTCAACTGAATTTTCAAATTTATTTTGAGGCAAAGTTAAATGAACTGAATTCATGTGGTTGAATTATAAACATGCACTTTAAAATACGTATCTTTTGGAACCGAATTTTGAAAGCCGAATATTTTTGTACTGAATATTTAAGCAATGAAATTACGATTGAAATGTTTTCAGTTGATATGTTCAATGTTTAAATGTATGCACATATTAAATTACAGTCCCCAAAAATTCAAAGCGTCATTAATGCAATGCGTTTTTATTCGATAAGTGTAATTCAACGTGTTTTTTTTCATCAATGACTTTTGTCATTAATTTACTTCCATACAGACCCGCATGGAGTGCAAAAAAAAAACATAGTGCGGAGAAAGGTTGAGCCATATTAATAAATGATATAACAGCTCTTGAATGAATGTTACGATCTTCAATAACAGCCACTATCGGTTTAATACTGGCACAGCCAGGGAAGCCAACGATTTAAACGACACTCAAGGACACCCGCTAAGCACGAACTTTGCTAGGGCCGCCAACTTTCACGGATCTGGCGTGTGACACTCACGCCTCTTTCACTTTCAAGCGCACGCGGGAAATCTTACGGGGAATCTATACTACGGTAAGTCAAAACACTCGTTACAAAATATCGTCTCCGAATATAAGACGACACCAGTTTTTCAGGGTTTCGTCTTATAAAAAATCGTCTTATATTCGGGTCAACATGTTAATTATAATACGTGATTTTTTTCTCCTTACATTAGGAAAACGGCTAAAAAAAAACAACCGTAACGAGGGGCTGTGACATATATGATCATCATGCAACGTCATCAACGTCAAGTTCACCAGTCAGTTCTCCCTTTTACACAGGCTGTGGCAATAAAAACGCCTACGTTTATCTGATTGAAAACAGTTTTGCCGTTAGGAACAAAAATTAGCTAGCATCATTTATCACTAATAGTTTTCCATACATGGCATGCCACTGGCTGAGCAGGCCTGTTAAAATTAACTAGAATACCTCTAGCAATTCACTTCTAGAGTACAGCATTGTAAATTGCTCTATTTTTCTGTCGTATAATTACATTCAGTGAACAATATCTTATAGTATATTTCACGACACACTTGCACCAAAATATCTTCTATCCCGTGATTTGCCTGCATCTAGCCAGTGATAGGCTATATTTAAGCCTGCAAGCCTGGTGATGAAAGTTATTAAAATGGCAGAAAATAAATAAACAAAATTATATATTTTAACTATTTAAAATATTTTAAATACATAAACTACAATCTCTCGAAGTGTTTTGTTGCAAATTTCATCCAGCAAAAAAACCTACAAAATACTCAAAAGTAATTAAATTCATTTAATTGAAATGCTGCCAATCTTTGATATTATAAGATAATCCATCCATCCATTATCATAACTGCTTGATCCCCACTGGGGTTGCGGGGGGCCCGGAGCCTATCCCGGGAACAACGGGCACAGGTGGGAACCAACCCTGGGCGGGTGCCAACAACTACTGGACCAGTTTAGACCAATCAGCCTACCCCACGCGCTTTTGGACTGTGGGAGGAAATCAGAGCCCCCGGCAAAAACAGTGAGAGCATGCAAACTCCACACAGAAAGGACCCGGGACTGAACCCATGCAGGACAACTGCGCCACCATGCTGCCTGATGCAAGACAATGGTAAATGATATTGAAGTATATTAATAATAAATTTGAATTTAAGAACTTAAATGGAGCTATGCTGTGTTTACATGCTGAAACTGAAGCATTATGACAACTGTGCCTTGTTTGTGGTGAAGGGCAACCATTTTGACTCTCACCTTGGGTTCAAAATGGTCACAAACGGCCCGGCATGGCTCACCAGATAGGCTGCAGGCAACCCTGATGAAGATAAGTGGTCTGAAGAAGGATGGAATAATACATTTATATTTTTATGGCACGGAGAAAAATTATTTTATTGAAGATTATCTTCTCCCATTTGCATTTTGGAGAGCTCTTGAGAGAGGTTGGGGTTCACTTCTTATAATGTCATATTTTATTGGTTTGAGAATCAATATAGATTTTTTCCTCTTTAATTATTATATAGATAACTGACATTTCAACTGTGGAAACTTTAAATGTGGCCTTTTTTACGGGGTTCCTAACTGGCAGAATTGGTATTTATATTGAGCTGGACAACTTCTTGGTAGACGCTGATCCTGTACAATCAATGGTTGTGAAGATATTAAGCTTTAATTAATGTGTCACGAAAGCAGAGGAAAATTGTATGAAAAACCTATTAAAAATCCATCATTTACAGGTAATCAGACACCTTATAATAATGTAACATTTAATTCACAACATCTGAAATTTCAAACGAATGCTTAAAAATTCTTTCAGTCATAAAAGTATAATGTAGCAGAGCTAACATTTTAACCATCAATCCATCTATCTTCCTTAACCATTTATCCAGTACAAGGTCATGGTGATTCTGGATGGGATGTCAATCCATCATAGGGCATACAGTACAGTACACTTAGGGCAATTTAATGGCATGTGGGTTTTGATTACAGGAGGAAACCTATGCTAACACTGGAAGAACAGCACACATAGAACCAGGTGCGGGAATTGAACCTCAAAAGCTGTAGCTGTATACTGTAGGCACAGTTCTACTGTTATTAAGGCTGTCTGAAATATGACATACTACTAAGTGTGGCTTGGGAGCTCTTTCAGCAAGATATGGTGAAGAAGTCACGACAGGCTTAGGGCTGTATAATATTCTTGCATCAAATGTCATAAGAGTGATTTCAGAGTTGGTGTAACTTCATAGTGTAAAGATTCCTTAAGTCCAACCTTAATTTATAGGCATGGTTGGAGGATGAATGTAACCAGAATTTATACTTTTTTATAGCACCAGCAACTGAAAAACTACTCAGTCAAATTTGTTAATGACAGCCCAGGACCCTGACAGCATATGGTAAATGGATGGATGGTGTCAACTCATATAGGGGTGAGAAAATTTTTTAATAATTCTGCAGGCGATTTTGTGGGAGATACTGCTGTAATAGAATCAGGTGAATTATACGGGAACATGAATTATATCGGATTGTGGTCTTAAGTGTTTAATAGTCTCACAAAAAGTATATGTCAGGAATTACTCTTGCACTACGTATTGTAATTAATTACAACAACAACAGCAATAACAATAAGAGTCATAATCATCATCATGGTTATGTTTAAGTATTATTTTTCTTCAGCTGAAATCTCTGGCATTTATTTTGTAGTAGATGGCCAGTGTAGGCCTATATATTCATATTTAGGTTTTGATTTTAGTGCATCCCTATGTATCACAGAATATAATTCTTTATGAACTGTGCATGATCTCTGGGCTAATTGTATTTGAGATAAAGGATAAAGGCTTGTAGTGACCTTTATGGTAGTGGCAAGAGCTGCTCCTCTAGTAAGGGCAGAGGGGATTGAGCTGACCCAGTGAATTTAATTATATTGACAAGTGGTGCTACGGCCCCTCAGCAAGTGAGACATAATCAAGGATGCTTAATTTTCTCAGGCACCCACCTTATTATATATTGATGGGGATTTTAAGAGCCGCAATAGTTGTAATGCCATAGCTTTTCCCTGTTAAACTACATGCATTTGTAAAACTTACAATTGACACAAAAATATATCAAATGTGGCCATATATTTCTAAAAGCTTCATTACCTTTTGATAGATTACATACGTGGATGTGTGCATTGCATTACAGGCTGTGGAAACAGCAGAAAAGTGATTTGGCAATTCAGGATGTAGCCTCACAATAATACAGGGTAATGAAATAATTAACGAAGGATAAATAACCATTGAAAAAAATAACAAATGTATTACAATCCTCCCACTATGAGAATGTATTGTTGCATTTATCATCTTAAACTCCTTTTTATAAGTAAGGCTTATACTTCAATATATTTTTTTCAGTAATAAAAATACTGTTGGAATTTTCTTTATTTAAACACAACCTAAATACAAGGCCAATCCGTCGCAGAGTACTCAGCCATAGTCATCATTTTCACTGAAGCACATGACCATGAACTGTGGAAGGAAACATGAGCAGCCAAAGGGAAGCCCAGGAGGAAAAGCAGGGGTTAGATTCAAACCGGTGACCTTTGGAAGGTGTGAGATAGCAGTGTTACCCATTGAGTCAGCACACCATTTGGGAGAGGCGGTATTGTACGCTGTTACAAAAGATAAAAAGAAACAAAAGCAGATACAAAGTATACTGTATAATAAAATAATAAAGAGAAAACAGGAGATTATTTGCAGTGAATGCGTCTCTGGATCCTGACCTGCTGAAATCATTTATAATAATGGAGAGGAAATGATGAGAGGGGGTTTGCTTGGGCGACAATTAAACCCAGGACTGCACATTGACATTTAGGTTGAACCTTCTCCTTTCCCTTCAAGATTTAATAGAATAAGAACAGAGGGGCAGCATACGGTTGGTGACAAGAGAGGTGGCTGCCTGGTGTCAGAAATTAATGGCAGTCTCTGCGGCTCCTGTAAAATAATTTAGCAGCTCCATTTTGGAATGAGACGGAGGGTAGTACCTGTAGTCCATCTGTCTCTGCATCCGTCTCAGTGGGGTTTCAGCTCGCAGACGTCGTTTGATAAAAGCCAACATCAGCTCCTGCCAGTGGCTTGGGGGGCGTCCTTAAAGGCAAGCCTCGCACCAGCGCTCCATAGCCAGCCACTGACCGGGGCCATAGACCGACACAGTCTACTTACGACCTCTGCATGACTAAAAAAAATGTATCGCAATATCAGGGCATTTTTTGCCATCCTCTATATTGCAGCAGTTAAATAATTTCAAGCTTTGCTTATTTAAGACCACTATCCCTATACTATCCCAATAAATGTTTTGAAAGTCCAAAGTAATCAAAATAAAATTTAAGGAAATTTTAAATAAAACATGCTTGCTAAGCAAAATAGACAATAATATGACATACATGTTTCTGCATTTCTGTTTTTTGTGGACATAAGATTTTTCTACTCTGTTTTATATTTCACATGATTTTTAAGGAAATAAAGTATAATGAAGCAATAAAACAGGTCATAGTATCTGTATCATTCTCTGTTATGTTGACAATACATTGTTTCTTTATCATTGTGTGCATATTATAGAAAGTCAACCATTTCCTCTTTTTATAGAAAACATATTTGAAGAAAATAAAATAAATTATGATGAAGTAATAAAACAGTACAGTTATCAACCTAGCCAAAAGAGTTTTGTTTTGCCTCCTAAAAATTTGCATTAAAGTAGTGCAAATTTCTTGAAATATTCATTTAAGATGCCCTTGAAACATAATAAAAATGCTGAGTTTTATATTTAGTGGAGTTACAGGATAAAGTTAATCTTCTACAGAGTTTTCTTCATTTGCTGTAGTTTTTCTATTGATGTACCTGGTCAGATGACAACTAAGAAAAGGGAGGACTCTGGGTTATTAGAAATATGTTTGGCTTCCAACCATATTTTGACAGGTCTTGAGGATGATGTACTGTGCTGTGGAATATAAGTGTATAATCTGGAAACGTTTTACGATTTATCATAATACATATAGTCGCCCGAACATAGCACAATGACAGTTTCATTATGATGCCCAGAATGACTTTATCTTTGAGCTGTCCTTCACAATAAAGCTGAATGACATGACACAGGCATAAATATTCATGATATTTTTCCATCCATCCATCATCTAACTGCAAATCCTCGTCAGAGTCACACTGGGCTGGGGTACACTCTGGGAAGTCCGTCACAGAGCATATACGCACACTACGGGTAATCCAGAAACAGCAATTAGCCTGTACGTCTTGGAGCTGCAGGAGGAGAGCAGAGTACCCTAAGGAAACCAATACAACAACAATACATCTACAGCAGTGTAGATGTGGAATTCCAGCCCCCAGGGTTAGAGCTATGAGGCAACCATGCTAACCACTGAGCCGCCATGCCGCCTGTAATGCTTCTGCACAGCAGCTTAATAAAACGTCATTTAACAAATGTTCAAAGTGTAGCCGTTCTGTCATATATCTGCTTCAGCAAAGTTATACAATTATTTATACTGCATCCATTTTCATGCCACTTTTAACAGCTCTAAATAGACACCAACAGCACCAAGAGAAATGGTACAAGTGGAGTCTGTGTAGCCCTACCAAATGGAACTTCAACCCTACTGGCACGATATAAATTAAAATGGAACAGAAGACAGATGTGGCCACTGCATAGCCTATTTAGTAAGGCCCATGACACTGCTCTCGTCATTTTTTTGAAAATTTGAATTTGTTTTGTTTTGGAAACCCTAAGACTTAAATATCCAGAAGGCATAGTTAGCAATGTTTCATATAGCATTGATGTTGTGCTTTTTTATATTCTGCTTTTTTAAATGCTTTGAGGAATGGAAGGAAAACTATGTGCCATATGAAACGAAGTGACATTTCTTACATCTATGGTGAAAGTGAGCTACAGTATATGTGCTTTAGAGCTTCTGTATTAAAAAATGAAGGCAGATCTGATATGTCACATGGATTCTGCTTTCTCTTTTCTTTTTATAGATTTCTTTAGGGGCTATTAATGTGTATATAGCGTGTGTGTGTGTGTGTGTGTGTGACTATCTAGACAGGTTGTATTTAATGAAGGAAATGGCTTGGCCATATTAGACTTAGACTTTGAAAACAGCATCTTGATATTTGTCCTGTAAAACAGACTGATTACCAAAGATAAAAGAGCGACAGATTACTTGCATCACGGAACAAAGAAGATACAACTCAGTCTCAAAACTAAAGTTAAATCATATTCTGCTCGCTAGTTCTGGTTGATGCCCCAAATTTGTGATTTTTATGTGAAAAAAGGAGCAGCCTTGCTGAAGCTGAACATTGAAAAATAGACAAATATCCAGAAGAGTGGAAAATTGCAAAATTCTTTCAAATAATAATAAAAAACTATAATTCCACAAAATTAAAGTACCCAGCCCCTTGAACTCATGCCTGAAATATGCTTTGATTGGACACCAATTGTCAAGGTGTCATTAGCTAAACTATTTATTTTACACATTAGACAACCATAAAACTCCCAAGCATATTGCATGTCATTTGAACAATATTTTTTAGTGTGTGCTACCTGTGTCTTTGCCTATGTTCAAGAATAATGCTAAAAAATAATAGAAAACAGAAATTGATACCTTGGCTATCAGAAGGAAAATTCATTATTGTCATTAGTCAAAAATAAATATTTCACTCTTCCCAGCAAAAAGACTCACATAAGGATCAGATATATTGAGGTATATAAAATGCATTGCACACGCTTTTTTCATCACTTTTGTTTTCGCAGGTCTTTGTTTATAATATTCAAGGTTGTACAGTATGGCATCTTTGTACAGCACTTTGGTAAACAATGAGTGTTTTTAAAAAATGTGCTCACATACCATTAGGCTGGGAAATAAGAAAAAGGGAACAAATGGCCATGAAGAAATAGTCTTGTTTACTTCCTGGCTGATATCAGTTACTATAGTACTGAAGCTTCAAATGAACACAGATGAATAAAAACACAAATTATGAGCTGCATTCCTAAGAGAAACGTGCTGCCCACTCTTAATAACTGCTCAGCTGCAAAGTAAATTCACTCCGCTAAGCTGGTAACAGTTGTGCTTGGGTGAGTTTCATCTTAAGGCAGATTCATTTGCCTTTGGTTATTAAAAACAAGGTGGCAAAAATGCTAATATATGTAATAAATAGTGACTTCTGCAATGCCTCTTTGCCAGGCAGCAGAAATCATACACTCTCTGCCATGCAGCAAGTTAGAAATGCATCAGGGAGAATGGCAAACACGCTTATTAAAATGTGTTCACATTGTACCTGATCTCCTCTCTCTTCAGTGGCTTCCTGCTAATTTCAGGATGGATGTTAAATTCTTCTCTTCATTTACAAGGCATTTAAAAATCTGCCTCCATCTTATCAAAGTGAACGGTCAGCCCGCAGGTCTTCCTTTAATTCCCGGTATAAATGAAAGCCTTCAGCTTCAGGGCTCCTAGACTCTGAAATTGTCTCTGTATTTAAATATAGAATAGTTCAGTCTATTTGAACTTACCATACAGCTGCTGAAGTTGTTTACATGTGGGAAAGTCTGGGATTTATTACAGTTTATTTTCATTAAAATTTAACTGGCCTAGAGGTATTTTTCTTTAAACTATAACTAAGTAGAATGTGTTTCTTTTGTTAAGCATTTTAGTTGCTCAGGAAGATAACCAAATAAAATTAATTGGACTGAAACAAAAGTTTGCCAGCAGGTTCTAGCTTACTTTGCTTGTGCATGATTCTCATCACTGTTACCATTGCTTACAGCACATGAGCGTTGGTCAGGAAGGCGGTCAGTTGTGAAATACCATTTTGGAAAAGCTTGGAAAGCATGGTGGTACATCTTTTAGAACAGTCTTGCTCTATCTCCCCCAGATGAGGTTTACTGGCCATTTAAGTTCGCACTTACAAGGAAT